TTGTGACCGGCCACCAACTGGGTTTAACTCCATTCATGACTACTCTCTGGGTTTGGCTGTCCAGCCAGTTCTTTACCCAGTGAAGAGTAAACCTGTCTAAGCCACGAGCCACCAGTTTCTCCAGGAGAATGCTGTGGGAGATGCTGTCAAAGTCCAGGTAGACAACATCCACAGCCTTTCCCTCATCCACTAGGCGGGTCATCTGGTCATAAAAGGAGATCAGGTTGGTCAAGCAGGACCTGCCCCTCATGAACCCGTGCTGGCTGGGCCTGATCCCTTGATTGCCCTGCACATACCCTCTGAGCACCCTCAAGATGAACCTCTCCATAATCTTCCCCGGTACCAAGGTCAGGCTGACAGGCCTGTACTTCCCCAGATCCTCCTTTCAGCCCTTCTTGTAGACGGACACCACACTGGCAACCCTACAGTTGTCTGGGACCTCCCCCGTTAACCAGATAAATCATGGAGAGTGCTCAGTGCTCTCTCATGCTCAGCAATAAAAGCTGGGGAAATAACAAGAAAAGGGGGACATTCAGAATGATGATGTCGGCCTTCCTAAGTAACAGTTACGCATGATGAAGCCCTGCTTTTCTCTAAATTGCTAAACATCTGCCTGCTCGTGGCAAGTAGTGAATGAGACCCTTATTTTGCTTTGCTTATGTATGCAGCTTTGCTTTGCCTATTAAAGTACCTATATCTCAACCCTTGAGTTTTTGCCCTTTTACCCTTCCAATTCTCTCCCGCCCACCCTACTACAGGGGTGAGTAAGCAAGTGGCTAAGTGATACTTACCTGTCCACTGGATTTAACGCACAATAAAGAGCATGCAAACAACTTCACTATTAGTCCTGTAAAACAATCCACAGGGCCCTTTCCCTTAGCTTAAGTGAGTTCCAATCAGCATGGAGGAACCTGCAGATAAATTGCAGCCTCATACGTTATTTCTATTCAGTAAGGATTAGAGTTCCCCTAGAAGAATGGATCACTCACTTTTGTTAACATCTGAAAACACTGACTGGAAAATAGCTGCTGTAAAATAAACCATCTACAATGGCTCCCAGAAAGACAATTTAAAGGAAAGGTAATTTCTTCACCCTCCTTACTACTAGCCAAGGTTCAGAGTTTTTATGCCTGGACAAGGTCTGGGTGTTTACTACCAGCTCATCTGAAGCCAGTCACAAGATCATGCTTCCTGAAACAACCAAGAAACGCGTTCACTGCTCCTGCCTAGGGTTGCACTCACTAACTGAGCAGTTTTACTGCACAAAACATCTGTCTCACAGGTAGGAAAGTCATCCTGCAGAGATTACTTCAAGCCACCCTCCAGATTCATAATGCCACTCATCAGAACAGGAACAGAGCACTCCTTAACAAGTAAGTTTTCTCCGGTCTACCCCCGGCCTACCACCACTGCTTTCAGCTCAATCTGAAGTCATTAACAGAAACTAGAGGTAACCATGTTACTCCAGAAGAACAAAAAAAAAATTTCCAGGCTACTGGGAGAGCTAGCTTCATGAAGGCCTTCAATTGCTTTAGGCATGCCAAGAAGGGAAAGCAGCTGTATCTGTAACAGGTTTTTCAGGTAATGCTCCGTGTGGAATAGAAATACCTCTTCCCTCCCTCTGCTCCCTACCCAGCCACTGATCACTGTCTCCTTACCTTAAAAAAAAAAAAAAAAAAGTGTCCTGTATCTGGCAATCCAGGCAAACCTTTGAGCCAAAGATAACCAAGTGTCCCAACTGCCCCACCATGGCACTCAGGGACTAAAGAGAAGTCTAACTACAGGCCATTTTAGCAACAGTCAATGATGCATCAAGTTAACTCACCTTAAAAAATGCAAACCACTTGTAGCTGTTTATCACAATTTCAAAGCCTTGATTGTAAATCAAAGTGAAGAAACCATAGTTGCCCAGACTATCCTGAGCCACATCTAACTTCTGAAGATTCACAAGCACCTTTCTTTCCACAGGCCCTGTAAGAAATACAAACAGTATTGCATGATCATTGCATGGAAGAGATAAAAATTAAAAAAATAGTACAAAGAATGTTTATTCCAAAACGTGCTAAAATATACTTGTTGAATACAGTCTTCTGCAAAAAGGCATCATCAAACACACTTCAGGAACTTCATTTACCTGTCAGTGGGTCTACATGCTCATTTGTTTGCATGGCTAGACAGTATTTGCACATTTAATTCACAGCAGCACCGAACAGCTATCACTGGGAAACATCAGTTTATTTAAACATAACTTGCTATACAGCTACACAGGACTCAGATGCTGCATCACTCAAGCACTGTGTCTACAATGACAAATCTTCCCCTAAAACATCTGGGATGAGGTATCAGCCACCCCATGCTCCTTCACACCAGTGCTCCGACTCCTTCCACCACTCACCTCACCTCCACTGCTCCTACTGCCACTTGCCTCCTCTGATCAAAAGGCAGATGATTTAGAAAAAGGCAAAGTATCTACTATTTTTAACTAATACTGACATACAGTAATTAAATGATAACTCCCCACTGCTATTAACCCCTCAAGGGCACTGGTATTTCCATTTCTCCTGATGCCGTCAGGCTGCTTAGGCAGCAAGCCCTCGCAGCCGGTGGCCTCCCAGGAGCTGGCTGGGTGTCACCCAGAAGCACAATACCCGCCACTTTCAGGACAGGCTGAGCTGCCAGAGAAGGTATGGTATCTGTGGGCTGTGAGGGAGGAAGCAGCAAAGCAGCATGAGCCAGTGGTGCTCATGAAGAGGCCTGGTTGAGTCCAAACCGAAACAAACAAACAAAACCCAAAACACTGAAGTAGAAGAGTAACAGCGCTGCCCGCAGTGGTCACCCAGACCCAGACCAAAGCATTTCACGCTGCTTAATTAAAATTAACGTTTTTCTGCCTCGGGCCTGGCACGGAGCTCCGCATGAAAGCCGGCAGCACGGGCCC